GTTCACGTGCGCAAACGTCACCATGCCTGCGACGTCTGTCTGGAGTCTACAGGCAATCAGCAGCGTCTTTCGAATCACGTATGGAAGCACAAGCTACATCATTTGTGTTACAGATGCGGCATCGCGTATCGTAATAAACCGGATATCACGAAACATCTATTTTGGAAACATGGCACGGAGAGCGTTCTGTGTCGAAAATGCCTGCAGAAGAAATGGCCGCACATATATCATTTCTGTATACCGCCTACAGCGTTCGTTTGCGAGGAATGCGGCTTGAGTTTTGGACGCGCGGTAGCGCTCAAGGTGCATAAAAGACTGCACTCCGGCGATTCACCATATGGCTGTGACGAGTGCGAACAGCGTTTCATATCACGAAAGCTCCTAGCTAAGCATCAAGCGGCTCACAGAGAACCTGAACCTGAGGATGTCCATGTGAATGTGACGGATGTAGTTAACACTTCACTAACGGACAAGGATGAGAAATCAGATAAGAATACATCCGTAACCATAACCGATGGAGACCTGACAGGAGTTGAGACTACATCAAAGAACGTGAAAGAGGCTGTGAAAAAAGTAGTCGATGTTTACGATCTACCGCCGCTCAATCTATCGTCCGAAAGTGATACTGATAGCGAGGAGGAAAAACCCGCTTCCACGGAAAAACCACCGGAGAAAGAGAATATCGATGAAGATGCAGCAAAGAAGAATGAAACTACTGAAACAATCGCTGCCGATGACGATGACAGTGTTGTGTTGAACAATGATATAGTTGAAGTGGAACGAAACGAGGAGGAAAAAAAACAGGAAGCGCGTATTATGGATGGCATTTGGGACAATTTTAAAACGTACGCTGCCAGTTTGGACGTAGAGGAATCCGCCAAGAATGTCGCGTTGAAAGAGAGCGTACCTGAAACCGACGCGGCATATTTGAGGAGTATCGTTTTTTCTGATCATGATTATTGTGTAGTAAATACATCCGACAAAGAAAAGAATGAAGATCAAGTTATTTCTAAGGACAATGACACGAAAGCGAACGATACCAAATCTGAAAGAAGTCCGTCACCCGGTACTCCAAGTCGCAATACTGGAGGCGACAGTGACGCGAACAAACGGAAAGTAAAGACTCCTAAGAAGAAGAAACGGAGTGGCAGCACATCATCCACGAGCGACTCCTCGAGCGATACCGACTCGAGCAGTTGCTCGTGTGGCACCAACTGTAGCTGCAGCAGCTCTTCGTCTGGCAGCTCCTCCAGTTCTAGTAGCAGTTCCGATTCCGACAGCTCCGCGTCCGAGAGCTCACCCAGAAAGCAATCCAGCAATCGTAAGGACCGAAATAAAAAAGAAAGAGAAACTACACGAGAGAACAAATCACAGTCCGTTGAGCCGGAGAACAAGCCAGAGGATAAGCTGGAAGACAAGAAGATTGCAATAGAGAATGGTCCTGTGGTCCTCCCCGAGATAACAAGCGAGCCTTCTCCAGCGAAGCTTCTCTTGCGGGAATCTGATTTGGAAACCGAGGAAACCGAAACAGATGAGGATTTCTATGATGAGTACCCGCAGTTGCTCGCTAATAAGTTGATGGCGGAGAAGCGCAATCAGTTGCTGCTTCTGGCTACTGTAGCGCCGGCATCAACACCGACCTCGACGCCAACCTCGACACCAACTTCGACATTGATGCCGATGATGGACCAATCATCGATGCCATTGAATAATGGCGTTCTAGTCGCGGAAACGACACCAGATCCGGTTACAATGACTATCGAGAATCAACAACAGTATCAACAGCAGCAGCAACAGCAGCAACAGCAGCAGCAGCAGCAGCAAAAGAAGAAAACGAAAACGAAGAAACGACGAAAGGGTGAGAGGGGCGGTAAGCGTAACGCGATTACAACAGCCACCGTGGAATCAATCAAACTGAACATTCCCAAGGCACTTTACCAAAAGAATCCGGGATTCGTTGCATCGTCACAGTCAACGCTGGTAATGCATCCTAATAGTAGATCCTCGACGCCGAATCTATTGCCAGCTGCAACATGCAACGACTTCCACAGCGGCAATGTTACGAGCATTGCGATAGAAATGCAACAGCAGCAAGCATCGACCACCGCTGTCATTGGTGCATCGAATCAAAATGTCGGTGGCAACGGAGTCGGTGGCATGGAGACGGAGAACAAGAGAGTTTCGAAGAGAAAACGCGTGCCGAAGCGTTTTTACGGTGACTCGAGCGACGATGAACCACAAGAAAAACAGTCGTTCAGCCGATGGCGGAAAATCGAAACAACCACTTCCACAATCGCCACTACTATCCCAGCTTTCACACCGCTGCCACCCATGACGACGATAACGCCAACGAATCCGAAACCGCTGGTGTCGAGATTGTCCTTGAGCGGAAAGACTATACAGACATATAGTAACAGGTCTGCTCAGGTGGAGCAGGCAGCGAGTCAGCAGCAAACGGCTCTACCCGAGGCATCGCCAATCGTCGCAGCGACATCCGCCACCGAGTCCGAGGGTCCCGCGGAGAGTAGCAGTGATAGCAGCGAATCTGAGCCGGAGAATATTGTAAATCAGTCAAAGATCAACCAACCAACGATACTACCTGTTAGCGCACCAACGACGGAGCGACCTGGCAAGATCTATTGTTACTGTCAATGTCCGTATGATGAGGTATCAGAGATGATAGCCTGTGACGGTGAGGATTGCCGCATCGAGTGGTTTCATTTCGAATGTGTTGGTATAATGGTGCCGCCCAAGGGCAGGTGGTACTGCCCGGACTGCAGAAAGAAACACGGTATTGTGCAAAATGATGAGTACTGCGATTGATAGTTGCCACGCGGGATATTAACGACAACGGCATGTTATTACCAAATTTGAGCGATCGTTGCTTTTTAGGCGTAATACTAGAATTTTCCTCCTTTCTTTTTCACGAGCGTATGAAAAGAAAAAAAAATTGCTACACTGTTCCATGTTGATATTTTTCTTAAGCCAATACACAGAGTGTTTGTATATATACTATGTAAATACGTCTTAGAATTATAAGAATGAAATGAGGTTTTTTGTGTACATTTCTTTGTACTTCTTTTAATGACAGCGTTATGTATAAATATATAGCATTGATAGATAGATGAATAAGTAGATAGGTAGATAATATCACCGACAAGGTATCATTATCAACAAAATTTTTTTTTAACTATATCTGAATTAGCGTATAATAATATTAATTGATGATTTTTAATTATTATACAGATGCTTCATATAAATAAGCACATATTTACAGCAACAATATATATTGCTGAAAACTACATTTTTTCCAACTATTATTTACAGGGATGAACGCGGATGGAAATACGATATCGTAATAAACATTGTCAGATATCTATATAATAATAAAATTAATAATAAACGACATTAGACCGCATATAATTACACAACTAAATAATAAAGTCTTATCGGTCTGAGATAGATTTTATTTATCAATTAATGTTTAAATAATATTTCGATGTGAAATATATATATATATATATATAATATATATATATTATTTCAGCAGAATTAGATATATATTTAAAAAATTTGAAAAACGAAAGGGCTGAGTGCTAATGTTAATTATTCTTTGCGCAAATTCTTTTATAATAACGTTTATTATTAAATCATAACAAATTAACATTAGACATTTTGACCCCTATCGAATCATTATCTATGATAACATTAACTGTGAATTTTTAAATTCGTTGAAATATACATACTAAGTAATAAAGTTAAAAAATTGATCGTCAGAATTCTTGCAACTATTTTTTCTACCCGCTGTGATGTCAGTTTTAATTCGTGCTGAGTTTCTTATGTTGTTCACAATGTGTCTATGTTCAGGAACACTACATAGATATATATTAATATTATTATAGATATATATTAATATTATTTAGGCATTGACATCCAGCTCAAACTGATAAGTCTGAATCTTCTCGTTATTTAGTTGAATAAAATTAATATGGTATAAGCTAATAAGAATCCTGCAAATTTCTATAAGTTGGTGTTTAATGGTACCTTGTTGATGATAGTATAGGTAACGATGCGAAATCGTACATGAGCCTAATAATGGCAGGGGTGCACCTCACGAATCTTAGGATCTTCACTTGAATCGCCTGATTGCAATTCGACTCGAAATTAGTATTTCTGGCGGTATCTGTATCACAGTCTTTTTAATTTTTCTAAAACCGCAGGTACGGAAATTATGATTGTCTTCTTTTTTTATTGATATCAAACTATTCTAAATTTTTTAATGGCTATATACGCTAAATGTCATTGATTGGTTTCTTTAATGATGACGGTGCGGTGTAGTAAATATTGTTGTATAGCGCTTCCTTAAAGCAATGTACTTCTCGGAAGGCGAATCTTTCCTTGCTTCTAGTCTATCGTATAGGTATTGTCTTGGAATAAAATCTTATTCTTTCAGAAATCAAAACATCTCTTCCACTGACAATTCAACCACGTAAAAAAAGCCGGTCTATGGTAATTGTCTGTGGTTGTATTAATTTTATTGTATGGATTTACAAATATCGGTGAATAGTAGATAGACGTTTTTTGGCTATAAACTTGATTGATAAAATAACGTAATCACAAGTACTGTAATATTAGAAATAATGATGAATTACAAAATGTTTATTGAAAATTTTGCTAAACAGTATTACAGTAAGTATGAGGAAACGAATCTACGTCATGCTCTTTTACATTATTCTTCGAGTTTCATATGCTGTATAGTTTAAATATTTTTATGCGAACCGAAGAAGCAAACGACGAACAAATGCCGGCGACGATTCTGCCAGCGTTTTCTTCTAGCGCTTCTTTTAATCTTAATTTTAATTTTAAAAGAAAGAAATAGTCGCGCGCGCAGTTTTTGTCTTTGGTTTATCAATCTCTTTTTAACGAACCTTGTCACAGCGGTACATAGCTGTAAAAAATTTCCTCTTAGAATACTTCAAGTAACCGTCGTGCTGATTTTTTCAATTGTCAGCCATAGTTTCCTCCAACGATTCAACACCCACGATGTCCATGGTAAAATCTTTGTAAGATATCCTCTGTATCATAACGTAATAATACATTACTCTCGGGAAGCCTAACTACTAGTTTATCTTATTTATGGCCTATTTAATGTTTTTAAACATATGAGGAAGATAGTTACCTCCGGAAGGAAATGGAAATTGAAGGATATGGATTTTGGAGGCAGACTTAGTTGAGTCTCAACCATTTCCTCTTTGGGAAACACGAGTGTCTTGAGATTTGTATATGCTTCTTGCAAAGTCAACGGTTCACCTACGGCAAATAACAATATAAAAAATAATAAGAAATTATTTTGAAAGTAGTGCAAGTTCAATTTCAGTTATTTTACATACACACATATACATTGTTTATCCAGATTTTTATAATGTCTCTGTTTTGTTTATTTGAAATAATTTGTTGCATTTATTAATGTGCATTTAATTTAAAATACAATAAATAATTTTAATAGAAGCAGGGCTAATAAAGTAAATAAGGAGATAATAGTATCTACTTTATTAGCTTTTTTTAGATTAAAGTTTGATATTATATAGTTTTGGCAAAATCAATAAACCAATCAATCAACTTTCCAAAGTTAATGGTAAATCTATTAGGCTCATTCTTAAATATAAATCTGTGAAAAATAATTTAACTTTCTTTGTGTTACATTTGCAAATTTGAATTATTCTGATTAATATTTATTTTCTAAAGGATATGAATCTAAATTCATTTTTTAATGCGAATTACATTTTGGTTTCTTTCTGAAATTAATTAGTACCTTTTAATAAATATAAATTAAATATAAATATAAATTAAATATGTAATAGCTTTATCTACTTTACAGATTTTAATATCAGTTCCAGAGTTAGTGGTAAATAATAATAGTAAATAAAAGGTCATAATAATAGTAAATTCACATTAATTAATAATTAATTCACCAATAGATTCATCTTCTTTCAGTAAAGTTTTCAATACCGTTCCTCCTAATAAAATATCCACAAGCTGCTTTCGCGTTAAAGTAGGATTTTTTATACTGTCGGAATTTTCTTTGATGAGCATACGAAAAGCTTCCTTTATGTGACGCATGCAAATTTCAAACACCGGTCGGTGATTCACATACAGTCGTACGAATTCTTCAAAAGTGATCTCTTGGACAAGTTTATCGGTTTTAACGTAACGTTTGTAGCATATTTCTGTCATAATATTCTCTATCTTCAAAACAGATATTTTGTCTTAGCAAATCTTAACGAAAAGATATTCGTAATATCTTAAAGCAAATGAATTTTTTATTATAATTTTCGTGCAATTAATGAAAAACAATTGTTTTACTTGTTGCTTATTTTGACATAAACAATTTTATATTTGAAAATTTTTAATTTGTGGCAGAAGAAAGATGTTTAGTATGTTTAAAAAAAAATGTAAATATTACTTCAATCATAAAAGTAATTTAAATATTTTAAAAAGTAAAAAAGATGTTTTCGGAGTTTGTTAAAGAGGTCGACATTTAAAATTAAAATTTTGACTTATGAAACATTGCGTATATATATTGTATATATATATATATATATATATATTGCTTTGTGATACTTCTTTGTCGGTCAGAAAATATCCAATAGCTCGCATAAGATTTGAAATTTGATCGACAACCACAGTATCGGAGATGATTCTAGCAGCGGTCGTATTCTCGCCTTGATGTAATATCTGCGCATAATAGAACAGAGCCTTCATCTCATTTACTAACCATCCTTTTTTCCCACCTTTGATGAGGCAATAAAACGGCGATAATCCTTCTCCGCCTAATCGTGCCATTATGTCAACAGATCTGGAAAAATTGTTTTTTTTTTAATAATAAAATTCATTATGTTCATTAAAGTCATTAAACGATGATGTCAGAATCAAGAAATTTAGCTTTATATACAATCAAAGTAAATGAATTTTTCGTTCGCATATTCATATTTAATAGAACGAGCTTGTATTATATAATAACCAGTGATTTTTTTTAGTATAAGAAAAAATGTGTGTGATTTTTTAATTTTTACGTAAAATTTAACACGATTGAGACAACTAACTTCAGTTTGATTTTCCACATTAACACACATGGATCGTTATAACCTGCGGTAAAAAGTATTTTTTTATTGTAGCTGACAGAGATACCTATTATCTGTAAATAAAAATGGATCATAATAGTCTTTCGTGTATGCCAGTTGTTAACATAAATATATAGAGTATCTAACTTTTTGAGGATGGCCAGTTATGCCGACAATCTTGTATGGATTACCATCAAAAGGCATTAACTGAAGACCAATTTCTCTATCGGTCGCAAATACCACATAGCCATTGTCAATAACTTTATCAGTTAAGATCTAACGACATTGATTTTTAATATAATAATTGATTAATTACGAAGGGGAGGGGGACATTTCTCTAATAAATAAATCAAGAAAAAGAGAAAGTTTGAATTAAATATAAATTCTAGAAATAAGTTCTTTGTTCTTTAACAATATACTTTATACCGTGTTTATAAAATATTTGACGGATATTTCTGGGGAAAAAAAAAAGAACAATTATCTACTTATATTAATATGATTAAAATTTAATCATATCTATTAGAATATATTTTCAATGTTTCTATTATAATTTATGTTTTCTATTTATAGTTATATAAGCATTTAAATAAACTGTTATATCTTATATATTTCTCGTATTACTTGAATATATTTTACTGGCTTTGCGAACGTGGGTCCTAAATAAGTACCGCAAATTACCTTGGTAGCATCACTGAAGATCTTATATTTGTACTGCAATTGTGAATTAAAATATTACGTTTTGCTGACGTGATCTAGAAGAATCGCAGGACTATTACTTCAGAATTTGAGATCATAAAAAATTTTTCAATGCTGGACACAGGATACCACGCGAGGCAAAGAGGAATGGCATTTTGTTCGATCTGATCGATACGCAAGATTTTAAGTCCTGGTACTGGATATGGTCCGCTGCAATGTAATTATAAAACGTAAAACATTATCCTCTCTAAAAGGAAAATTATTACCTACTTCAAATATTTATAGTTATTTAACTACAGAATCTAAATCGCTACGTTAATCGCGATTCAAGGTTGTAATATTGTAGTACTCTTTTTTTTAATAATATAATCATAAAACAATAATTTTTATAAATTTTAGAAATACAATACATCTCTGATTCAAATCCAGAAAATCATAAAAATCAAATGTTATTAAAATTGTGTTTCGTATTTCTCTTATCATGACTCAGAAATAAATATTTGTTTTATTACCTTACATAATATCGCATTCATATTATTCTACACGTTTATAATTCTATTATATTAATCTCATTCACAACATCATTTTTAACATGATATTTACGCTTATAAATATTTCAATCAAATCGCTTAAACTATTTTCCACAAATAACACAATGAAACATTTACGATACAACCTGTGCGCGAGATCGTATTCGACGAGCTCTCGATCCTCTCCCAAAGAGAAAAACCGCGGTACATCGGAATCGGATGCGGCCGGGCCGAAAAGTATATCTTTGATAGGTAAATAATGCGAATGATATTTTCCGATCAAGTTCCACATATTGTATTCTGAAGCGACGGCCGTATTATTTCTCTTAAATACTACTACAGTCAACGCGTTATCCTACAAATAAAATTTTTATTTACCTTTAGAGTCGGTTAATTAATTTAATTAATAATATTATTGCCACAATGTGCAATATTATTCGCGAATTATTATGGAATGCGGGATTTCTTACTGCATAAGCCATGTATTCGGCACACCGTGTGAAAGTAATTTTATTAATGGCTGCCGAAGAATGCTTATATGGTATTTCATCTATAGGATCTAAGGTGATATGATGTAGAATCCAGATCGCCCCGTTCTCCAAACCACACACTAACATATCGCCTAAAAAAAATAAATATTCTTTTCGTGAATTTCCTTTTCTTCCTTTATAATAATAAAAAGACATTGAAGATCCATTAATATACATCATTTATGTATATACATCTTGGCGAGAATTTCAGAGCCGTAACGGCCTTCAGGGTCTCGTGGCTTTGCGGACAGGTGACATAAATAATATTTTCTTTAATCTTCTGTTTTTCGAGAATCGGTCGATAGTTTGGAAGAGGTGGCGTGTTCTTCGATGTTATCAGAACGCATTTTTCATGATTATATAAACGTATGGTTCCCTGAGCGTCGCCCACAACCATGTAATTGCTGTCATTGAAACATTACTATTATTATTAAGTTATTATACTATATTTATTTCAACAGAATCTTGCTAAGCTAATTTGAAATTTGTCCACCTTTCTGGGTGACTATCTATACTAGTCACGATTGCAACCGGGTGACGAGACACAAAGTAACATTTCTGCTTTGGAATTTTCATTATTGCTATTATTCCTGCAGGAGAGCCTAAAGCGAATGCAGATAAAAAAAGAATATGATGATATAGCGAGTAATATGTTTTATACATATATTGTGATGTTTTAACGTTATATAATTCATATAATACGGTAATTTTACAAAAGTTTAGTTCTTACACACAAGAAAATTTCGGACATCAAATGGAGAACAATATAGAGTAGCAGACGTTAATATAGAACTCAATATTTTATTAGCCGGCTTGACGTCTTTACTAATCTTGTGATTTTGTGAAATATGTTTTCCATTTACAGTGAATTTTGGTATCTCCACTTTGCTGGTAAGTCTCCCTTAAAATTCATTTATAGTTTTTCAAACTATATAAACAATAATAATGATCTATATAGATTTCCGAATTTTTTAAAACTTCTAAATAAACTTCGATATATAAATATTTTTTTATCAGGCTTTCAAAATAAAGCTTACTTTTTACATCGACGGCAAATATCGGAGCTAACAAATTAGATTGAAGATCGAAACTTAGCCATCGAATGGAATCAAGATCACAAGTTTCACACCAATATAAAAGTCTCAATTGGTAATCATAGAAAGTAACACGACCATTTGAATTTCCCGTAACAAGCATACTTCAAAATTAAATTACATTAAGAATACTACCACTAGATTTACTAAAGTAATTTTAGGCTTTAAATTCATATACCCTTCGTTATCAATAATAACAGTAATACTGCTTTTCTGTAAGTTAAGAGTCTTTCTATGTTTTTTCTTTTTATAAATATTATCATCATGCTTGTCTTCGTAGGAAATATTGTCCCATACTAAAATATAGCCTAAATAATAACAATATAAGAAAAATATTATTTAATAGGTAATTAAGTCATTAATAAACTATTAATATATATAAATATAGACGATACCATTTGTACTTGCTGTAAATACTTGTTGTATTTTTGAAACGTAGCATGATGCATTAAAGACACCAGTATGTTGAACTTTTGTCATAACTTTGGGACAATCGTAAATCAAAGCGTGACCATTCTTATTTATGAAATTAAGAAGAAACACGTTATATTATTTTATTTTATACTTTATGGTTTTCATTCTTATTATAATTTCTAATGATATTTATTATATCAATGATTCTCTCAAACTATCTATTTTAATGTACTATTATGAGTTTTATATGTGTTATTTAAGTATGTGTATATCAAGAGTCATAAAAGCAGCATCATATAGCTATCATCTATGAGCTAGGTGCTGCTTTCTATTATTTTGTTCATGTATGTATATCATATAAAATACATTTCTTGTCTTTTATACGTATAAATAAAGTTATTATTATTATTATTACTATTATTATTATTATTATTGTTGTTATTATACACAAGAAATGTGTATTTTTGTAATTGAAGTCGTATGTCATACCTTCAGAATTAAATCAAATGTTAGATGAAATAGTTTTAAGTAAAGTATTTTTCTTTCAACATTTCTCTTTTAATTTTAATAAAAAAAGATGTTTATGTTATCCTTTTTGCACAATCAATACAAAATCTAACTATATTTGTAACATCTAATTTTTAAAGAACAAAACTTGAAATTTTATGTAAAAATAAAAATAGTAATTTTGCATGAAATCTTTTTTATCTTTGTTATTTTTATTATCTCGAAACTCTATTTTACTTATTTATATTATTATTTCGTTATTTCATTCCAATTAAGATATAACATGATTATATACAAATATATATAATATTTTTCACTAACCCAAGTTAGGAATAAAACGTGATAATCGGTCGTCAATGCAAATTGTTCCGGACATTCGTCGTTGAAAGTTATTCCCTTGACACGTTCAGTAATGTTGATTAACGAAGTCGATGCTAAAAATATTTTAAATTAGCTAATTCTGGATTATTCAACAATTATAAATATTCTTAAAAATTTTAGTTATAAAGATCGTATTTTTTGTGTAAATAAATAGTAATTATATAATAATAATATAAAAGGATATAATCCTTGACAATAATTAATATAAAAATACATATTGATGTTTCATATCGTATTTCATATTAAATTTTTTAAGACGAGGAAATAATTAATGAACAGAAGACAACAAACCATCTGGTTTGTCTCTTCTATAAGTCCATAACCAGAAATGCACATTCTGATATCTTCCACCGCCAACGGTGACTATTTGTTTAGCATCAGGACTAATAGCAGCAATTGTGATATCTTCACTATTATGTGGATTAAATAAAGTGCAAACGGAAATCCTAAGAATATTAATAATTCTGTTAACTTAATACATGAATCTCAAAGTAATACTCGACATAACTTTACAATTTCGGAAAAAATAATATAGTTACCCCTTTTCTGTATCCCAAATTATTACTACACTGTTCTTTCCGGAATCCGCTGTTAGTAACCACTTGCCGTCACGCGAGGTTGACAACATTTTAATAGGATTTTGCTAAAAAGGATTATAAGATTCTTCAATATTATTTGTAATTAAGTGTTGTTTCGCGACAAACTCAAAAGTATACCAACGTGACCTAGGAGTGGTAACATTTTCTTTGAAATATAGTTGTAAATTATTGCTATGTGCGAACAGGCGTACGCCAATAACGTACGATTTTCAGTAGTTAGATTTATGACCGGTACTTCCGGATTTAATCCGAAGGACCACTGTAATGTCTGAAGAAAAGCAACAATTTTTGTTAAATAAAAAAATGCTAGATTCGTCAATGATACACTATTTTTTTATATGTTTTTTTTACTCACGAATGGACAGAGATCGTCCTCTGTGAATCCTTGTTCGAGACATTTTTTCTTTACAGTTATTTCAATGTTTTCCGTATCTTTGATAATTTCGGCTTGAGATCGACCGGCAATCGACGGAAAAATGGAAGAATATCTCGCCATTTTATAACAAATATCAAATATCAAGTTTAAGTTTAAATAGCTAATTTCAGGTAAAATCATCGCATGCTATGTATATATACACACTAGCGTTTTGTAAAACAATTTAGTTAACAAAATGAAATTTCTAAAATTTTGTATATTGGAAATATAAATATAATTTTTTTTACGAATGTTAAACCGATATTGACGACTAAATGTCATGTCAAAGCATTAGCAAGCAAAGTTGAACCAATCATATGTCAAAAATATTAGTCTCTTACATTTTCTTCATTAATTTGAAATTCTATTAACATTGCATTGTTTCTTATTAATTACCGACATTATATGTGAATTTAAAAACTTTCTTGAAACAAAGAATAATTCATAGCAAATGCCATAAAACAATTTTTTAACTAAATTAAACGTTAAATAATGGTTAATAAGATGTCTAATATTTTTGATCAGGTTGTATATCAAAATTTTTATATATGTATATATATTCTGTTTTTCTATATTTTTTATTTATTTAATACAATTTTATTCAAAACCTATTCGAAAAAACGACAATATCTAAATATATGTATACATATACATATACAATATGTACAATATACAATATACAATATAAAGACTACGATTATTTTAAAATCGTAATTAATGAGTCAAAAATGTTATGAAAAAATTTTGATTTTTCAAAAAATTTTACTAAAAAATTTATCATTCTCATCAATAATTTCATAATGTCTCCTTTTTAAAAAAAAGTTTATTTACATCAACATTTTGCATATATTGTTTTTAATTTTAATGTATTCGCTATAGTTACGTCTATTACTTTTATTTCTTTTTAATTTTTATATTTTATTACTAATGATAAAGTATGCTTTAAAGATCTAATAAACCCCACTCATCATATAGTGGGAGTCTTTTTATCATTAACTGTTTAAAACTCTCGTTTTTTGAATATATAAAAGTACCAGTGCTTATTATCTCATTCAAATCTGTTTTAGTCTGACAGCGCAGCATATATGGTAAAACCGTGAAGGATATTAGCATTTCCAAGCTAGCCCTTCGCTTTAGGATAGCTTTCAGTTCCTTCATGGTGGGCGGCTCCGTTTTGCAATTTAATTGCTTCATAGTCGTTGTCAACATATCAAGGTATTCACTTAATAGAACATCTTTCTTGTATTCAATGACATCGAAGGAAGTACTTGAATTGAGAAAACAGAGAAGATCGAATGCGGGCGATGTATAAACGCACATTTGAAAGTCTACCTGTAATCAACGAATGTTTTCGATCGATCAATCTTTTGAGTCAATTAGATTGGAAATGAAATTCACCGCAAAAGAAGTGGAACGTCATTCAATGTCATTCAATAATATAAGTTAGATTTTTTGCAAGTGCAAATTGGATATCACAAATTTTTATGTTTAATCTTAATTGCATCATAAAACTGCGATTACAATAAATCAATGAGTACCTACTCGTGTTCAAAGGAAATATATAATTTTTTAATAAGGTGATAGTACTTACTAAAATATAATCGATCGGTTTTCCATTGTTGTTATATTTGAACAATATATTATTCATTTGAAAATCACCGTGATTAATAACATTAAATTCATCCTCGAACAGCTTGCTTGCATTTATACCTATTTGATATATGTGATCGGAAAGTTTAGCAATTTTTTCCGAATATCTAGCAATAAAAGTCACATAAAGTTGCATAAAATTATGTATAAACTATACAAATATCTGCTCTAAACAGTATAATTTATACTTATATTTGCAATTTTCTAGTTAGCATATTTCTTCATGTTAAACGCTTATCTTAAATCATAAAACATTATTATGAATATTAAAGAATAGAGCAATGAATACTGTCATTTATGGAAATCTTACTTTTTTACTTCTGGCCAATTTGCAATCTCGTCTGCTAAAGCTTTAGTACTCTTAATGAAAATATTTTTCATTTCTGGTGGATGCTGTTTATGGAATATTCCTTTCAAATACATCTCTTTCTGTTTTGGTTCCTAAATATTAAAAACATTTTTATTAGAAGATATGCAATTCGGGCAATATGCGATATTATCACTATTGAACGCGACGGAATTTTATTTTTCATAAACAAAATCTATATAGGATGTAATAAAAGGCGCAGCATTTTAAGTTTTAATATATAGTATTAAAATAGAATTTTTGTGTTTAATATTACAATTAAAAATTAAAAATTTTTTATAGGAGTTTTATAGGAATATATATAAGCTGTATTAAGTATACGTTATTCTAAAATCTAAAGCTTTACAAATTTTACTGAAAATTATTTCTTGGCAGTACTTTTTTTAACATATAAAATTTTTAATACGTTGTGCCACTTCAAGTTAATCTCTATTATATGTAACTTTTGAATATTTCTGATTACAATATATCATATTTTTAACAGATATTTCGAACAATACACAAAAAAGAATCTCATATCAGTGAGATGTTCATGCAATCAAAGTATTTTATATATAATTCTTATGTTTAGTATTGAGATCTTAAACAAAAATTTGAATTTTGGATATGGTCTTTGTATGGTCTTTGTGCTATTGACCTGAATTCTTAATAATTGTAACGAGACGTTACAACTGTTATAATTCATATGTGGAGATTTACCTTCTCGCATAGGGCTACGGAAGCTGCATGAAACCTGGCTAGTCCACGAAGTGCCAATACGGAATGGGCTAGATCAAAACCAGACGAACGATCGGCCAATCGAAAACCTAGAGGCGCAAGATCTTCGATTACTAAAAGCGTTGGATTTTCATTTTGTACGTAGAGAATTTTCCCACTCAAGCGATGATTTGGTCCTAACAACTTATTCATTTTATCCAAGGTGTCTGACATCATCAATGCTTCATTATGAAAGTAACCTGATTGTGTGACCTATAAATTTATTTAAAATCAATTAATGGAATCTTTTGTTTATGGGGAACATATATAATGGAATTCCTTTAATTTAACAATATTCAATTTTTTTTAATATGAAGACCTATATGAAAAATGTTTGTATAATAAAAAGTTGTATAATAAAAAGTTTCAGCTTTTCGAATGGCAAATAAATAATAACTTTATTCTACATATAAATTTATTTTCAAACAACTGAAAAATGTTTTCTTCAAATATGATCTGTATAAATCTATATGAAATAAAATCTGTCACAATTGAATTTCTCTTTTTTTTCTCTCTTTCCATATTAAAAATATTATATAAATTAAATACTCTTACAAGTTTCTTTCGATCATCTTCGAGTGTAGGTGAGATTTTAATGATGATTGATTTCTTCTTTGTATTCTTAAAGCCACCTTGATTACAAGAAAAGTCGGCAATTATCCTGATTATGTCACTAGTGTAGTTGTCACCCTTGCTTGTGGCTGGTTCCGAACATATATTAGTTACTTGGATCGAATTATCACTTTCCGAATTTCGCAGGATCTTCTCTACAAAGCATAAATTCAGCCATATCGATGTTTCTTGAGCCATTTCTGAAATTGGAATTGGATTTGAAATTTCTTCGATAAATTGTTGTTTCTCTCGTCGCGTAACAAAACGCGAAAACGACTCTTTACGATAGCTTATTGGTCGGCAAAAATCACGTTCTCATTCTCTCTTTCCAGCTGCAATTCCCTCCATTCATTCAAGTCTTATCATTAACTAAGATAAGATAATAACACTTCAGATTATAAGATTATTTTTATTTTGTAATTTGATGTGGGAACGTATTGGGAACGTATAATGCTGAGAATGTATACGTATAATGCTTTGCTCAATATAAGTAAGCGTGAAAACTAACGAAAGAAAACTAACGGCAAAGAACCTCAATAAAGAGGGGAACTTCTGTGAAAAAGGAGAAGAGGTATTATATAACAAACATGTAATAATGTTTAAGATAAGAAGGTATGTGCTTTTGATAATAATTCAGTTCTTTTTATAAGCCGTTTCTTTTTTCTTGTTTATTGTAAATTAACTCAGACAGTGCAGTAATAATTTTTACTCTAAAAGTAAGACTACGAAATTAGACTACACATTAAAAATTAAGATCGAAGATAAAAAATGAAAATTTAGCCAATAAGAGCAAAAAATTTTAGCTTCTCTTGTTTTGATTGGTCAAATTTCAATCTCTCAATCTTCAATCTCAATTTTCAATCTCAATACGCGTAGTCTGATACCACGGTAGTATTGGAAAGTTAAATTATTACTAGCCAGAAAAGCTGTGCAGCACTTGTCATAACTCAAATCAAATTCAATGAATTTAATATATAAAATTTTCTATTTGGAATTAACGTAATCAATATTAACCGATTATAATAATTATACGTAACGTTTGTAATAATCGTAATGATAATTGTAACATAATGCTTGCGAATAAAAACTCAAAATATGAATTTAATTGGTCAGTAAAAATGTTTAAGAATGTTTCCTCTTTTGAATATTTAAGCAATAATTTGCAATTTCAGACTCAGCAAAAAATTGAAAAAAATCATAAAAATTAGGTAGGCTATTATCTTATTATATTAACTATTACATAATATTTTTAAATTTATATTTTGTTCTTTTATTTATATTTGCATTTCCATTTTTATATTTTATCATTAAAGGTAAAATATACATTAGAGATCTAATAAACCCCATTTGTCATACAATGACAATCTTTTTATTATTAACTTTCTATAATTCTCGCTTTTGATACCTAGATTTATATCAGTGCTTAATAACTCATCCAAATCTTTCGCCTCAGTCTTAGAGCACAACACAAACAATAAAACGACAAGGAATTTCATAGCTTTTCGCTTTATAATAACCTTCAGTTCTATAGTGGACGGCTGTGTCTTGCAATTCAATTGTTTCATAGTTGCTGATAAGATGTCAAGGTATTCGTTCAATAAAATATTTTTCTTATTTTCCATGACATCCAAGGAAGGACTTGTATTGAGAAAATATATCAAATCAAGTGCCGGCGTTGAGTAAACGCACAGTTGAAAGTCTATCTGTAATCAAACGAATTCTTTCGATCGGAATATTCAGAAGGTCATATTCAGAAAGTTTCATAACAAGATTGATTGTTGGGAATATGAATTATAATATCGATCTGTAATTACATTAAATTAAACGCGAGCGATGGTATTATTTTTGAAAATTGCTCATCTGTTAAAAATTTTTAGACATCACTGTTGCTCTTCTCTTTTTTCTTTCGATCTTGGTACCAAGCGGTTGTGTCAATTGCGAGGCTTTGCAGCGGCGATATTTGATAATTTTCTCGTTTCAAATAAGTTTAGAATAAGCAATCTGTCACTGTACGAAGTACTAAAATTGATCTCTGCTTATTTGACTCGATATTAAGATTAATGTTACACTGTGATATTTTTTGGAACTTTTGTTCCTCTCTTGCTTTCTTTTCAATTGTAAGTTCTGTTTTAATTAAATGTGATTGGATTTAAATGAATCGTGTATTCATTTTATTTAGAAACTTTCAACAGACAGTTTGCGTGGACATGGATAAAAAAAAGACGAGTATGTATAGTTGAATGCGATTAAACAGCTGAGGTTATTGCATTATTCATAGCATATTGCATAGTTGCATTTTCAAGTATTTTTCTGTTATCGCCGCTTGTTTGCTTAAAGCCACTATTGCGCAGATAATTAAACAATGCGTTAGTACTATAATAATGTTTCTCTTTTAAACTATTATTTATTCATTTTGTTTATTTGTACTTAAATTTTTATTATTACACACAACTTATAAAAATTGTCATAAAAATTTAGAAATGTAGATTATTGAAATAAAGTGACTGAGGTATTACGTGTAAATTGTATTCATAACAAAATTTAAATCTTTTTAAATAAAAAAAATGTATTTTTAACATAAATCCATTGTTTCAATAATGTATATGTTCTATCACATGTAAGTATAAATTAAAAATTTCAAAAATTATTTTATGTAATTTTAAATTCTTAGCCGTAATAAAATCACGTTTATAATAAATTTATGAGTACTTACGTTTAGAGGAAGTACATGATTTTTTATGACGTGATGATACTTACAAACATAATGATCAATAAGTTTGCCATCATTGTCATATCTGAACAACATATTGTTCACCTGAAAATCATCAGTGAGTAATAACATTAAATTTTTTCCGAATATCTAGCAATACAAACGAAATAAATATAAAATTGTATGAAATAAAATTATGTGTAAAAGTCACATAGATATATGTAATGTGTATTTGCAATTTTCTGTTTAACATTCAATTTTTTTTATGAAACACATCTTGTATCATATAAAACGTTATCACGAACATTAAAAAATAGAGCAGTAGTACTGTCGTTCATACAAATCTTACTTTTTTACTTCTGGCCAGAGTGCAATCTCGTTTGCTAAATCTTTAGTACTCTTAATGAAAATATCTTTTATTCTTGACGATTGCTGCTTGTTAAATATTCCTAGCGAATACATCTCTTTTTGCTTTGGTTCCTAATAATTAAAATATTTTTATTAAAAAACATTTTGATGTATTTATCGTTTGAATATAAAGATAAATATAAATTTTATAAGTTTCTAGCACGGATGGGAAATTTATAGATCTAGACATACAAAAAAAATCTACACAATAAATGTAATATCATACAATTTTCTGACAAATTTAGAACAGATCTTTTTTTTTAGAGGAAGTTACGAGATAGCCTAGACAACAGAAATATCGAAAAGGCATTTAAAAAAAGAATAATCCTTGTATTCATGCCATTGATTTGAATTCATAATAATTGCAATAGGACGTTACGACTAATTGTGAGTACCGTGTGATGATTCATTTATCTTCTCACATAAAGCTACAGAAATAACATGAAACCTTGCTAGTCCACGACTTGCCAATATGGAATGATCTAAGTCAAGACTAGACAAACGATCGACCATTCGAAAACCGAAAGACACGAGATCTTCGATCGCCAGAAGCATTGGATCTTCATTTTGCATGTAGAAAGGCTTCTCGCTCAAGCGATACTCCGGCTTTAACAATTTATTCATTTTATTCAAAGTATTTGACACCATCAATATCTCAGTGTGAGAGACCTGATTCTATAGCCTGTAAGTTTAACAAATGGAGACTTTATCTAACAAACATACAATTATGTTTTATATAAAAGTATATTTGTGTAGTAAAAAATTTCAAATTTCAAATTTGTTTTTAAACAAATAAAGAACATTTTCTTTAAAAAAAATATATATATATTTTTTTTTGTGTTAACCAAAAATAACTATCGCGAAACAATTATAAGTCCTATTCTTTATGTTTCGATTCTAAATGATTGAACAATATGAAATATCTGTATATAATTGTCACCTCGATCCATTTAGTCGATATTACAGGTTTTCATTTCCAATGTATAAGCTGCTTACGCCCTCTGAAGTTAATATGATCATGCAGGAAATTCGATCGATTAATTATCGATATTTTTATTCCGTTTCCTACATTACCATCTTAACAGGGACGTGTATTAGGGTCGGTCCCACAATGTAAGATTTATTTTGGAAAATTTTGTAAACACAAAAAAAACAAAAAAAAAGGACAAGGAAAAAGGGAAGAAAACAGACAGGCTATGTATTAATTGTGCTGTTATTTAAAAAAAATTTATTATTTTGTAAAATATCTATCAAATATTTTGTTCCAGATTAATTTTACTTCATTATTATTGTATATTTTTTGTTTCATTTTATGAATCGTTTGATATTACTTAAGATGTACTTACTGTAAGATTGTATGCATTGGGGGATAGGGATTATCGCTGAAATCGAGAAAAGCAAATGCAACAATTCACTTGCGACAATTCAAATCGTATTCAATATTAAAATGAATTTAATATTAAAAATTTTCTGTTAATAATCAATTTAATCAATGACAATCACTTATATAATTGTAATGAAGTGCTTACACATAAGAGATTAGAACATGATTTTGGAATGTTTTCTATTTTAAAATTGACCAATAGCTTGCGATTTCGAACTCGGCAAAAAAAATTAGAAAAAATCACATGCTTAGATAGGGTATATAGATTATTTTATTATCGTACAATCATATCCAGTTATATACAATATATATTATTTATTACTTTTCTTTCAATTTTTCTTATATCTATTATATATATATTAGGTTGAGAAAAAAATCCCTTTACAAATTGGTAAAAAATCTTTTAGTAACTCATTTATTCTATTTTTAAAAAATTGGCAACTACATCACTTGACAGAGCAACGTATTTTTAATACCGATACGATGATTTTTAACGGAGTTACAAGTAATAAAGTCAGAATGTTCCTTTTTAATTAATTCATGAATAACTCAGGAATAAAAAATTATAGGAATGTGTTAAAAAAACCATTTTGTAAGAAATGGTTCAAGCTTTCTGAATAGATAGTTGAAAATTTGCCTAAATTGTTTTTGGACACGCTACAAAGTGAAATGAAAATTTTTCATTTTTTTAAACCCATAATTTTCTATATATAAATATTACAAAATTCATATAAATTAAAAAAATACAGTAATCATTCGAAAGTAGAGATTCAAACTTACATTTCTTCTTGAAATGCTATCTCAGCGTATAGGCGCCTCTCTCTCATATAATCTTTGCGCGCACACTGATTGTACACAACGTATACAGGGATTTACAGTTTAAATGCCGATTTCGAATGGCAATTTTTGGTGATTTCCTAGGAGATTTCCTGGGCAAGTATATCACTCGATGGTTTGCTATTGCTTTCCGAGAGAAGCTACGAGTATACAAATTTTTTGGTTCTGCTTGGGATTAATCCTTATACTCCATTAGTATTATACTCCTTTTTTTAAATTTAAATTTTGATCATTTTTAAAGAAAACATTAATGAGGAAAAATCTTTTTATCAAATTGTACAGGGACTTTTTCCCTAACGCAATATATTAATACAACTCAAAATACTTCATTTTGTATCTTAAATAATTTCTATAGTATTTTTGTAATAATATTATAAAATAATATTATGTACATCTCTTTTAATAACATTACTTATTTTATTAATATATATATATTAAATTAGATATATCTGTTATATACACAACAAAATAAATATATTTATACGAATGTCTATGTATATCATTATCTTTGTAATACAATAATATAATATATAAAAATCATCATTATTTTAAAACTTAAATAAATAAAAACAAAATATCATTATGAAAATGATTTTTGATTTCTCATATCAAAAGGTATGTCATTATTAATAATTCTATAGGACCTTTTAAAAAAAAGTCATGTATCAACATTCTTTGTCTATTGTTATAATTTTTTTGTATTTGCTATAAATATTAATATCTAATATTTTCATTTCTAATATTTTCATCTAGATTTATTTCTTTTCTATTTTTGTTTTTTATTACTGAAGATAAAGTATATATTAGAGATCCAATAAACCCCAATCGTCATACAATGGCAGTCTTTTTATCATTAACTTTTTATAAATCTCGCTCTTGATACCTGGATTTATACCAGTGCTCCATAATTCATCCAAATCTTTTGCCTCATTCTTAGAGCACAGCATAAATGGTAAAACGACGAAAAATATTATCATTCCATAGTCAGCTTTTCGCTTCATGGTAGCTTTCAGTTCCTCCATAGTAGGCGGCGGCGTCTTACAATTCAATTCCTTCATAGTTGCCAACAAGGTGCTAAAGTATTCATTTAATAGAATATTTTTCTTGTTTTCCATAACATCCAAGAAAGGACATGTATTGAGAAAAAATAATACATCGAGTGCCGGTGATGCGTAAACGCACATTTGGAAGTCTACCTATAATCAAATGAATCTGTCCTATCGATCAATCTTTCGAGTTCTCGGCAAAATATTGGATTGAAAATGAAATCTATTCATTCCGGAAGTGAGACATCATGTTTAGAAATGTTATATTTAGAAATTTCAGCAACAAGGTTTATAATTTGTACAGACGATTTGAACAGAAAATAAATCGACGAGTATAGAATGCGATTAAACATTTGAGGTCATTGCATTATTCATACATATTGTATAATATTTCCAAGTTTCTTCTATTATCACACCGCCTATTTGATCGTTAAATCCCACATTTCAGATAATTAAAAAATGCATTTGTACTATAATTTTTGTTTTAAAATGTATTTATTTAGTTCATTTATTTAGTTTATTTTGTCTATTTCTATTTAAATTTGTTATTTTTGCACACAATTATAAAAATTATACCATAAAAATGTAGATCAATGGAATAAAATAAATAAACTTCGTTATATTTAATTGTATTTATGATAAAATTTTCATTGTCTAAATTGAAAAAATATATTTTTAACGTAAATATGATAATACTTACAAAAATATGATCAATAGGTTTGCCATCATTGTTATATCTGAACAACATATTGTTCACATGAAAATCACCATGAGTAATAACATTAAATTCTTCTGTACGAAGCTTTGTTGCATCTATTCCTATTTGATATATGTGATCGGAGAGTTTAGCTATTTTTTCCGAGTATCTAGCAATACAAATAAAATAAATGCAAAATTATATGAAATTATGTAATAGCCGTATAAATTCGCTATAAGCAGCTTAGTATAATATTTGTATTTATTTGTTGTTATTGTATAATATTTGTATTTGCCATTTTCTGCTTAATGTTCAGTTTTTTTATATTAAATATTTATCTTGTTATATAAAATGTTATCATAAACATTGAAAAATAGAGCAATGAATATTATTGTTTACGCAAATCTTACTGTTTTACTTCAGGCCAGTGTGCAATCTCTTCTGCTAAACCTTTAGTACACTTAATGAAAATATCCTTCATTTTTGGTGATTGTTGCTTGTTAAATTGTCCTTTCGAATACATTTCTTTTTGCTTTGGCTCCTAAATATTAAAATATTGTAATTAAAGAACATTTATACATTCGATTTTAAATTGTTAAACAATAATGCGGACTAAAAATTTGGAATGTATATTATATACACCAAAATATACAAAAAATCTACACAATAATTTTAATATTGCAATATTATAAGAATAGTCCTTGCATCTGTGCCATGATCTGAGTTATTAATGCAACGAGATGTTACGACTGATTGTTAGTATCGCTTAGTGATTTACTTTCTCGCATAGAGCTACGGAGGCTGCATGAAATCTGGCAAGATTGCGAAGCGCCAATATGGAATGATCTAGGTCAAGACCAGACAAACGATTGGCCATTCGAAAACCGAGAGACGCGAGATCTTCGATCGCCAAAAACATTGGATCTTCATTTTGCATATAGAGAATCTTCCCGCTCAAGCGATATTTGGGCTCTAACAACTTATTCATTTTATTCAATGTATTTGACATCATCAACATTTCGATGTGAAAAAGACCTGATTCTATAACCTATAACAAGTTTATTCAAAGTTAATAAATGGAATCTTTTAATCTTACAAACATTCAATTATTTTTTATATAAAGGCCTGTATAAGATTTGTGTACTATGAATTTTCAAATTTTAAATTTGTTTTTAAACAAATAAAAATGTTTTCTTTATATACATGCATGTGTATAAAACCGCTTCCTTAAAAATGATTTATATAAAAATAACTTCATTTTAATTACTGATTATACAAGAATAATTAATCTTAATGTTAAATAGAAATGTACTCCAAAACAATAAAACATATCACAAATTTATTCCTCTTTCTCTCTCTCTCTCTCTCTCTCTCTCTCTCTCTCTCTTTCTTTCTTTTTTCTCTCTAAATTCGAAATATTGTATATATTAAAGCAACTTACAAATTTTTGTCGGACACTTCCGAGTTCAGGTAAGATTTTAAGGATAATTGATATTTTCTCTTTATTACTACAACTGCCTTGATCGCGCGAATATTCAGCAGTAATCCTGATCATGTTGCTGGTGTAGTTGTCACCCTTGCTCGTGGCTGGTTCCAAACATATATCGATCATCTGAATCGAGTTGTCATTTTCCGATTTTCGCAGAATCTTCTCCACGAA